GGAATATATGTTTGTAAACTTACTTCTTCAGTTTAACTAAAATAAATTACCACAAATGGCATCCGAATGGGATTTAGTCTAAAGGGACCCGGGTACGCTTAGCGGCCATGCGTGCCCTGGTCCCAGTAGACTAAATGCTGTTCGGATGTTATTTGTGGTGGTAAGTTTATAAACATATAGTCCATTCAATTATCTTTCATTTGATACCAAATTTTGTCTTACAAACCCAACAATTTAAAAAAAATCCAACCTCTCACTTCTGATACCCGGGTGCAAATAGTCGCAGCCTTTGTGGTCATCATATTAATGCTTTGTGTTTTCATAAATAGCTGGCAAGATATCGCTGTATTAATATTTAGCCTATTACAAACACTATTTCCGTGCTGGAAACGAAATTATTTCGTTCGGTGACCAACCTCCTCTCAATTTTTTTTTTTAACCAGATCTCTTAAAATTATTGTTCTGACAGGTCTTGAGGGAGAATCGCAAAAGACATCTAAATTGGTAGCCAAAATCATAAAAGTAAAAAGGTCTGCAGTAAGCTTACTGCATAATTATTATATGAACCTGTGATACAGCACACACATGTTATTTCATCAATAACAATGTTTATGAGCATGATAATGAAGAATTTCAAGAAATGAATTAATTGACTAAGCCAAAGTTACCTTAATTTTTATTTTAAAAAATAAATAAAACAAAAATAATAATGGAAATATTACCATTCCCTAGGATTATTCAATATTATTCACCTTTGCCAATGACAACATTGATGAGCATGATAATGACAAATCAAAATATCACAAATGAATGAATGAATTGAATAACCCTAGGGTTACAAATTTTATTTTTGAAAAAATTAAAACAAATAATGATATAAATATTACCATTCCATTAGTTTTTCTTCCACAAAACTATTTACATTTGTCTCAACCTAATTAAAATTTAATTTAAAAGACAAGTAGGTTATAATGCAACTGTGAGCAGTTTTGGAAGAGTATTAGTCATATAAGATACGATAACAGCAAGATGTCGAGCAATAATGAATATCGGATTGCAGGCCTAGAGAAAGACAGACAGTCTAACTTCTGGTAGATGATCAAAAGCTCAGTAACTTTCGTCTGAAATTGAAAGTTAACTTTTCTGCTTTGACCGAAACTGAAATTAAACAGAAAGTTAACTTTTCTGTTTTTGCAAAAACTGAAACTAGGCCAAAAGTGGTCAAATGGCAACTTTCAGTACCGAAACGGAAGCCGAAATTCGGTCGGTCTCTAGTGCAGACCTGTTTACCCTCAAACTCTTAAAATCGTACAATATCATCACAAAATTGTTCAATACATTATCTTAATAGTAACAAAATAAACATATAGTATATATAATGTATACCGGTACACCTTAAAATCGTACATTGTACACCAAAATCGTAAGAGTAAATAGGTCTGCTAGTGGTAGTGTGATATTTCCCTAATTTTATGGTGTTTAATGAGAGGGTCTAGATAGTATTGCAAGATCTCTGCCAGCCCTCAGGATTATATAACATTTTGGCCTGCCAGTACGGGACTGTCGGACTGGCTTGTTACTAAATAAGTATGGAGACTTTGCTATATCAATAAAAAATACATTAATGCTATACAAAAATACACCATTGTAGTTAGATAGCTCAAACGTCATAGCTAAATTAAATTGAATGAAATTTACAGAATAATGAATTTGTCTGAGATCTTGAGTTCAGATTAAAATGAGAGTATCCTTTAGCAGTAAAGGATTTAAGATATTAGACCATTCTCTTTGAACAGCCTGATTTGATCAAATTCTGAAATCCAAAATCCTGAAAAGCAGGATTATTCTCAACTTCTTGATTCTTAACAAAGCTGGTACATCTATTTGAACCCGTGACAGGTAGACATGTTGAGGTAGTTTAATCCTTACAGAAGAGTAAAAGTGCTCATGGAGCTCCCATGGAGAAGTTATTTGATCAACTGTTCACACATTTGAGTCTTAACGTACAAACTTTAATACATAGAATGTTTATGTACGCCGTTGTAAGCATTCAGCAAATAGTTTTTTTTATTTCAAAAACTTTTTTAGAATGCTGTACATTTCAAGTCTTGCTATATTTATGTTTTCAGGGTGGAAGAGGGAAATTGTATATCGACAGAATTCTGCTAGTTCATTATGTGATGTATACTATTTCTCACCGGGTGGCAAGCGGATGGTTAGTACCAATATATTACATGGTTGTTTTTTCCCCCATTGTATTCTGTTTTAAGATCAAATAAATGGATCAATCTTTATATCAGCTTTTCTCAACCTGTGGGTGGTGACAACTTTGGGGGTCGAATGACCCTTACGGAGGGGTTGCCTAAGACTATAGGAAAACATCGGAATTTGAAGTAGCAACTAAAATAATTTTATGGTAGGGTTACCACAACATGATGAATTGTATTAAAGGGTCACGGCATTAGGAAGGTTGAGAATCACTGATCTATATGAATTGGTTGTTAATTATTTTAATAACTGGTCATTAAAATGAAAAAAAAATCCGACGTAACGGATGTAGTTTAATATTAATCAATAAAAAAAAAAGTAAGATTGAATTCACAAATTTATCATTCAAGAAAAGCGGGGATATATTTAGCCCAAAAGTTATCATCCAAATCTAAATTTAAATTTCTACTTCACAGAGATCATTGAGGGAAATAGCACATTTCTGTAAGTATTATGTTAATTATTATGATAATCAGAATTTTATATTATGTTAGGAGCATACAAATAAGGGAATGTAAGTCAAGGTCACAATTTAAATTAGTAGTTAATTTAGCATAATAATTTAGTATAAGTTTTTTTCATGGCTTGAGCATAAATAAATGCAAAAAAGTCAACAAGTCATTTTCATAATTGTGAAAAATAAGACAGGAAGCACCACACCTTATTCCAGAAAACATGATGAAGATTACGATAATCCAGGAGAGGCTGTTGCATGCCACACACATGTTTCACTATAAGCACTGAGGGGGAGTGGGGGGGGGGTTGTGGATTTTGAAGATTTTGCATATGGCTGTGGTGGGCAAGGGGGGGGGGCGGCTCAGCAGAAACATACGTACATCATGCACAACTTGAGCGATATATCTCTATTATAGCCAACTTTCTCATTAAAGAAATGTGAAATCCATGACATTAAATTACTTTTATAGTCAAAAAAATAATTACCAAGATGTTTCAAACTTCCTGCTATACTATTGAGTTGTATCTTCACAAACTTCTTGCTGGTTATCGCACGAGTAACAGTAATAATTAGCCTAGTGACAACTTTAAGGCCACCGTTCATGGCTCTGTGTGCGGTACCTAATTTATGAAATAAATATTTCATTGGGCTGAACCATACAGCTGCTTTTGTGAAAAAAAAAGAGAGGTTTGGGGGGGGGGCGGACGACGACTCAATAAAATATTATACAGCAATGTTTTAGCAACCTTCTGCAGATGCCCATGATTCCAGCCCCTGCCACCCAAACTAAATGTCCTAAATCAAACATCAAATCTCCTCCCTGTGGTTTATTGTATAAATTAAATTTTTGTAACAAACAAAAACTATTACTGTTGATATTTGTTGAAAGATAACAATCAAATATTTAGAGTGGTGTCTTAAATTTAATCAAAAACAAAAAAAAATGTTTAACAAAAGGGGTTTACTATTTTGTATGTACACATGGTCAGGATGCCTAAAATTTAATGGGGCACAGGGATGAGTTTTGCATTTCTCCTTGTAATTCATTTATAAAGATGCCTCCCAGTATTTTTTTTTTTTACATAATTGTTTGCTCAGAGGTAATTATTTAAATTTATCCAAATTTCCATGTAACAGTTTGCCCTCTATTGGGGGGGGGGCGGGGGGGGGGGGG